AATTTGGTCTTAAATTTTTATTTCAAGTGGCATTAAAGTCTTTAAAAAGTCTTGAATTTAATTTGCCTTATGCTGTAGGAACCCTGTTTAAGATCTTAAGATGTCTTGATTAGATACATGCCTTTTGCACTTTGCTCTTTAATATAAACCGTTGCTCTGTTGCTCGTCTGAAGGTTGAACCAGCAGCAGATCGTGGAGCTCCGTTCTCAGGTGGAAGAGCTCCAGAGAGCGCTGCAGCAGCAGGACAGCAAGAACGAGGACGTGAGTGGAACAATCCGACACCTCCCACCCTCACTCTGCCCGTTTTCCTACAATCAAGCTGATGAGATTTTAATACAGTGTGTTGTTATCAAACAAGTGCATCCTGAGTGAATGCTGCTGTGTGCGGAGAGAGATCGCCTAGAACCATGTTTCTCTCCTTTTTGGATACATGTGTGGGACTTTAACCAATGTTTGCTGTGGTGATTAAGCGCTAACGCCTGCCCCTCTCTGTTTGTCTCTCTCCACCCCCCCATCCGTCCTACACCTGCCAAAATCAGGCCATCGTAAGTACGGCCCGTCCGCCGTCCATCCGGCCCCTGATTTCACTCTGCAGCACCTTAACTCTCACTACTTTGATACGTTTTTATACGTCTCAATCTTAACTTCATGTTTTGTTTTCTTCTTTTTGTTTTTCATTAAATGAAGTCATCCTTACTGAAGAAAAAGCTGGAGGAGCATCTGTAAGTGGTTCACTGCTGCAGCCTGTTTCATATTCATCAGGGATGAATGGATTTAAAGTGAATATAAACGAATTAAAAACGTTTTTCAGGGAGAAACTCAACGAAGCTCACTCAGACCTGCGAAAGAAGCGAGAGGTCATAGACGACCTGGAGCCTAAAGCCGACAGCAACAGTAAGGAGAAGGTTTTCTGTCTGTACATCTTTTTTTTTTAGGGGTGGGGGTGACCTTTCGTCTTCCAAACATGCGTCTGTTTCTTTTCATCTCAGTGGCCAAGAAGATTGATGAACTCCAGGAGATCCTTCGGAAGAAAGACGAGGACATGAAACAGATGGAGCAACGATGCAAAAAATACATGGAGAAAGCCAGAACGGTCAGTCCTCATCGAGTGAGCTCATTTTTCTCATCAAGAGGTGCCGGGCTTGCTTGGAAAAAATTAGTTTTCCATGCAGTTCAGGTCAAAGAATATGAGCTAAACCAGAATGGTCTAGTCAAAGCCCAGATCTTAGATTGGACTTTATACTGGACGTCTTCAACAGGAGGTCCACGACCCCTAGGGGGTCCATAGAGGTACTGCATAGGGGGTTGTGAAAGTTTTGGTTGATTAGACTTTTTTTTTTTTTTTTTTTATTCCCCCCTGCATTTTTGTCTTTAAATCCACATTAACATGAATTCAGCACAGTGTAGTAAACAGATAAATGGAGGCAGAAGATGTCTTTCAGTCATCAATGCTCACATTCAGCGACACACAGGAGCTCTTTCAAGCTGGGCACCATTTCATTCACAACACCTGTCCCATCAACAAAGAACCAGAGTCAGAAGTACTTTAATAATCCCATGGAGAAATTACTTTAGTTCGAGTCCTTCTGTAATAGATGGACTATAGGACCAGTTTGATTTAACACAATTTCATATAATATATGTAATTGGGTGGTTCTTGGCCTGGAAAACATTGAATAGCCCTGCTTTATACGACACGTCCAAACTGTCGTTTTCTGTTTTGCAGGTGATTAAAACTCTGGATCCGAAGCAGCCGGCTCCGACTCCTGACATCCAGTCTCTGCAAAACCAGCTGACGGAAAAGGAAAGAAGAATCCAGCATCTGGAGGTGAAGCAGCAGCAGAGCTGAGATTGATTCCTCTGCTCATTAAAGCCTCACTAACACCGATCGATGTTTTCCTTTTTTCTAGCATGATTATGAAAGGAGCAAAGCCAGACAGAACCAGGAGGAGAAACTCATCATCTCTGCCTGGTATAACATGGTTAGTATCGGGGGGTGTGTCTCACTTCTCGTCCAGCGTTCCGTCTCTAAGTCTGTGTCCTCCTGCTGTTCCTCCTCAGGGCATGGCTTTGCATCAGCAGGTGTCTGAAACGCGGCTGGGACCCTCCAACCAGGCCATGTCTTTCCTGGCCCAGCAGAGACAGTCCACCAACGCCAAGAGGGGCCTGATGCGACACCATCCCAGATGAGAGGAGACCTCCAGGCAGGACGCTTCTCTGAGATCAAGCAAAGGCGGGAAGATTGAGACTCCCTCTGAACTCTCTGCACCTTTACCTCGATGCCTTCGCTGGATGTTTTCTTCCACTCTCATGCTGCTACTGCCCCCTGCTGGCTGTTAACACGCCTCAGTGGAGTCTGCCACTGAGAATCACAGACAGGAATGGAGACGTGCATAAAGCTGGGGGATTTTATTTTTTTTTTTTCACCTTTTCAGGTGATTTTTGTTTTTTCTGTAACCTGTTTTCATCGTTTTATATTCAATTATAGGATAAAGAGCACTAACAGAGTAGGTTAAGTCAGTTTTAATACGATGAAGGATGTTTTATTCGAAACAAAGTGGACTGAGATCCCTTCGCTTTGTATTTTCTCCAGTTCTTTTAGTTTTGTTGGTTTTAGTTTGTTTTCAAAGGAAGGGGGCCGCAGTTATCAGGTTGTGGTTGGGAAACATTACGCGTTCACTTGAATCTTTTCCCCTGAAACAGGATCCTCCTACTAAGAACTCTTTGGAGGTTTTATCTCAGACACTGCAGCACTTTTGTTCTTCTTAGAAAGCTGGATTTATTTGGTGCCTCTCAGAAGGATATTGATCAACCGCTTTTATTCTTAAATCACTGATTTATGGTTGTGTTTTATGTTCATATAATCTGTTGGTTTGTATTCTCAACACTGTGATTTAGTTATTTTTTTCCGTTCTTATCAAGCTAATGGTTAGAACAGGGTATCTTGTATGACTTGCTGCTGGAGTCTGAATGAGAAAACTACTGATTAGGAGTTCATTTTAGGCTTTTTTCTGCTGCTAAGCCTCATTCACACCGAAGGAGAAGCACGTAACGCTTGAACCTTCAACGTTTTCTGACAGGAAGCGAGTGGCAGATAAAAGACAGAGCATGCGACACGTAGCGCATCGATCAAACACTAAACCTGCCTTTTCTTTACATTTTGTTTTTTTTATCTAATCTTTTTGCTTTTTTTTCTTGTCCCAAAATCAGGACTTGCAGTCTTCTTACTTGTTAATGTGCCGTCATCTACGCAGGCCACCATCCTTTTCTTGTGCATGTTATTTTTTTTTTTCTTTGGGGTTTATTCATTTAAAGGTTATTTATGAGTTAAAGTTGTAGCTATATAGCATTTGCATGGTGTGGAGGGGGTTCTGCATGCGTTTGTCACACTGTGGTCTGCTAGATGCGGTTCTACAATAGAGATCTGAGGCAAGTCTGAGAGCTGCTGTCCTTTTCTACTGCTGCAGCGCAAATAAACTGGATCTAAAGATGATCGCATCTGTTTGATTTTTCTACATTAACCCTTAGAAGCTTCATACATGGAGCCTAAAACAGGCTACAGAGCCTTGCTATAAACGCAACATAATTTCATGTTTTTCATGATGTAACAGAAGGAAATGAAGCAGCATTTTCTAATCTTAATTATGTTCTCTTGACAAAATCTGGTGGTCTGGTGGTGGCTGCGTCATACTGTTGGGAAATGCAGAGCTGACAGAGACATAAAAAGACTTAGAAGTAGTTACAAAAACTTTTTGAACAAGAATTGATATTGAGGTTTAAAAAAAAAAGCACCCCACACTCTTCAGAATTTATTTAAAAATGTAAAGCAGTGAAGTTTTCTCCAAGTGATTTTAAAAATGTGGAAAAGTATAGATTTCCTGAGGCGCTGTGCTAATCCTCTCTCCATCTAAAGGCCGAGATGATTAGTCAAACTTCTCACATCCTTTGTGCAAATGTCAGAACAGCCAAGTGAACTATGGGAGGGCGTCATTTACCCATTACACCCGTTTCCACGGCGCTCGCAGAGCTGCTGTAGATTCTGGTAACCTGGAGTCACCAGTGAAGAACAAATAAGGTCAAATGGCTTCAAACAATAAGCTTTATTTCAGAATTCATCACTGAAGGGTTGATTATTAATCGACATATTGAGCTGGAGCAGAAATTACATGATTGTTCCACACCTACAGGCCCCACGGCTCTGTCTCATAACTGCTAATGATTCCTTAAAAAGGTAAAACCTAAAAGATGAAATAGATTGTTACACATCTTAACCAGGGGAACGATTCAGTTTAGCAGAGCGCTGTCTGGGATGTAGGGCACATTCTTTCTTCATGCAGATTAAAGCAGCTTTTTTTCCTTTTGTTTCACTATTTTGATCAATTAGTGATCATTTGGTAAAACCCAACACTTCACAGCAGAATAACAAGGAGCTTTATTTCCTTTCAACCTTTAATAATGAGCTGAAGACAAACCCCTGTACTTTGAATCCACCTCCTCCCAGAACAATTAAACCATAACAGCCATTTTAACTACGCAGTATTTATGACCTAATGATCAAATGAAAGGTTAGTGATCCGTTTTCAGTTATTTTATGTCAGATATATAACCCCAAACACAACTAACCAGCATGTTCTCTACTATCTGGGGGTCAAAGGTTTTTTGATTTGACCTATAAAGGTACAAAACTTTATTATGAAACACATAAACATGATTTTCTCAAGAAATAAATACATTTACCATGAAACAAACGTTTATTTATTCAATAAATTATATCAAATATACCATGCAACAATTAAATTACCCTTTAGAAATGTAAATCACTTTATATACACACAAGCAGGAAACTAGAAAAAATCCTCAGCACTCATTTTAAGCCAAGTTGTTATAAAAAATAAAGGTTGCAAGAAAGAAAAGTTTAGGTGAGATAAACTATATTAGGTTAGGCTGGATTCAGTACCATTTTCTTTTACAGAATTATGTAACTTTTCAGACAATCAAAGCAGAAAAAGGCATTTATAAATGTAACTAAAGGCAGGGGTGGATTTAGAGGGGCAGGCAGAGGGGCCATGGCCCCGCCTAGCCAATCATTGGCCCCCCCGTCCCAGCTGATTTGTTATTCTAACCTGAAACCAGCAGTTCTTCTCTAAACCAGAAGGTGGCAGCAGTGATGCCAATATGTCGAATGTGCTTAAAAGCTCACAAAAAATACAAATAAAAATATTCAAAAAGATTTACTACAAAGAAAGATGACTAAGAAAGATTTATTTGCTCTTTTAAGAATTAAATTTTAGGTTTTATAGCAAAAAAGTTTGTCTCTGCAGTCATCTAGGAGTCTTCAATGTAATTCAAGATAAAGAACGACTATTAACCTATTCAGTGTGTATATTATGTAGAACCATAAATTAACATAAACAGTGCCAACATATAAGCTGGTGTATCTTTATTAGTAAGGGCCTCGTGTAAGTCTGGACTGTCTTTAGTGGTTTATTTGGGAAATATAGATGCTGTTTGCTTGTTTTCCTGTTGCTTTATTGTGATCATCATAGATTGACAAAAAAAAAATGTTTTTGGCTACTGTTAGTTTTTTGCCACCCCTCAGAGCACATCGATCCCCACCTGGCCACCCCTGTCAATATTTCCTGGAACCATGACTGCTGATGGGCCAAAGGAAAGAAAACTGTCAAACCGAAAAAAAAAAAGAAAAAGAAAAAAAACTAACTGGAAGATTATCCAATTTTGGCTTAATTTGCCTTCATTATTCAAACTCTACCTCAAAAATCCAAGGTTAAGCAACCCTCAGGTCAATAATTCAGAATTTACACTGAAAAAGCTTCTTTTCCATCAAACAAATGCACTACAATGCCTGCAAACAAGCTCGTTTCTAGGGATTTTGATGTTCCAAAGTGATGTTTTCTTACTTTTTTTTATTCTTCTTTTTTTTTTTTTTTTATAGAACTTAATGGAATCTAACAGTAAAATGCCAAACCTTATTACTGGTTGTTTTTTGGTAATAAGACTGGACTGTAAACATTACCTCACTGGTCAAAAGGGCACATAAGCGCTTGTTCTTCCTGCAAAGGATGAGGAGAGCCCACCTGCCCCCACCCATCCTCACCACCTTCTACAGAAGCACCATAGAGAGCGTTCTGACCAGCTGTCTCACTGTGTGGTTTGGAGGCTGCAGCGCCTCAGACTGGAAGTAGGTGAGGAGAGTGGTGAGAACAGCAGAGAGGATCATCAGGGCTCCTCCTCCCTCCATAAAAGACATGTTATCCCAGCGCTGTGTGTCCTGAGCCCGTAACACCATTAATGACCCCTCACCCCCCCACCATGGACTGTTCTCCCTGCTGCCTTCTTAGTGGAGGCTTTGCAGCATTTAATGCAGGACCGGCAGATTCTCTGTGTATACAAATTGAAAATAAAATTTGCCTAAGTCTAAGAAAAAGTCACAAATAGATGTTATCCTTTTTAGAAATGTGAAAAAATATTTTCATTCTCATGCCTAAATTCGAACAAGTGTTAGACCATTTTCTGTCCCTATGGTATATTTTCACTTTACAGGACATTGGTCCTAGAATTGGATCCTAGAATTTCTAAAAGTAGAATGGGAGGCAGATCTTTTAGTTATCAGGCTCCTCTCCTGTGGAACCAACCACCAGTTCTAATCCATGAGGCAGACACCCTGTCTACTTTTAAGGCTAGGCTTAAAACTTTCCTTTTGATAAAGCTTCTAGTTAGAGTGGCTCAGGTTATCCTGAGCTATCTATATAGTTATGCTGTTATAGGTTTAGACTGCTGGAGGACATAGGGACCCCCATTTCATCATTCTGCTTCATTCTATCTCTATTCTTCCACTCTGCAGAATCTGTTTGTTCAGTCTCTAGCATTATGCTCTCTTTGCTTTCCCTTATAGTAGCTTTGCCTCATCTGTTCCTGTTTGGCTGTGACACAAACCTGGAGAGAAATATCAGCTGGGCTGCTGCCATCAAAACCTTTGTTTATAGATGTTCGACATCGGCCTGTTTTTCAGTGTAGTCCTGTTTCTCTGATGTGACTGGCTGGATGTGCCCTCTTCATCCTCTGACATGGGAGCTGGCTCAGGGCTCGTCTGTCTGGCTGTGTGTTTCCTGGACGGGGCCGCCTTT